TAGAGAGAGAGAGAGAGAGAGAGAGAGAGAGAGAGGGGAGTGCAAGAAAGAAAATAGGGATGCGGATTGTCTTGAAAGGAAAAAACCAGCAAAGAACGTAACCGGATGATTGGCTCTTGTAGGAACAGGGCTAGCATTTCTCATAAAGGAATGTGTTAAAATAGTGTATAGGGAAGCCCATCAATGAAATCCTTGTAAACACTTCTTCATAGAGAGAAACGCGAGACACCATTGATTTATTAATTCGTTCAAGAAATCGAATTTCTGAACACGACCTCGAAAATGACGAGATGAGAAATTAAAGAGAAGGTAATTAATGTGAGAGTTGTAGAGAGTGATGGGTTGAGAAAGAGAAAAACAACAACAAAAAAACAAAAACAAAACAGGACCGAGGTGCACGGTTTGTTCTAGCGGGAAGCCTAACAGATTTTATTCACGTAATTCCGACCTGGGCAGGAATCAAAGTTAACGTTAAAGCTTTCTGCTTACAACAGATACATGGAATGTTTTCTAAAATAGGAAATGGAAAGGATGTTGGCTTGAGGAAGTGAAGGAAGAGGAGAAAGAAGAAGATCGCAAGGAGGAGGAGGAGGAGGAGGAGGAGGAGGAGGAGGAGGTTTGAGACCTTCACCTTTTAAAAAATCATATCCTTTGCTTTACTGAGTAATTGATTACTAGTTACTCCAAGACCAAAAATTATTTTCTTTTTTTCTTTTTCAATTTTATTTTTTATATAGTGAGCCGCTCGTCAGGCTTAACGATGAAGAGAAAGACATCAAACTGAATTTTTAACAACCAAGGGGAGCTTCGATTTTTGGATCGATCAGACTGTTTGTTATGAATTTTAAGTTTCTTTGTGCTAAACAATGTGTGTTTGTGATTATCTGTTAGAACGCGTGGTTTTGTACGCAATTCCTCTCTTTTCTGTTACAACTAGACCGACTGCTTTCACTTTGCTGTTTATCTCTTTTTGCGCCTCTTTTTATCGTCCTTGACTTTTTTTGTCTTCTTCCTCCTTCACTGCACTTTCGCCTTATGTGATTTTCAGTCGTATTCCTTTGATGCTTACAACTTTTGAGGTCTATGAAATTATCCTAGAGAAGCCGTTAAAATCAAATATCGTAGAGAGTTTTTCTGTGTTTAGAGACCTTTAATTGAAGTTAGTATTCGATTCCCCTTCTTCCTCGTTCTCCCGCCCCCTCTCTCTCTCTCTCTTTGTGTGTCTCTCTCTCTTTTTCTCTCACGAAAACAAAAAGACCCTTCGTCCCCCCAATAAAAACCCAAAGAAACAAACAACCCCAGAAACTCCCAAAACCCCCAAAA